GCAGAATGGAAAATCTGACTGACTTGGTTCTCAGCTTTGCAGCCTCCTTGGGGTCTTCTAACAGGGCTCCCTATTGGAGATACTCCAAGATGGGGTCCATCCAGCTTGGTAGATTCTGTATAGGGAGCACTTCTTCATCTTCAACACTAACAGATGGTTGCGCTAGATGCTCCACGAGAATCAACCTGTCCAAATTTTCTTGTGAAGCTGTTGTCAACCTCACCAAAACGTCTGCTCTCGAATTTTCAGTTCTAGGGACATGTCTGATCTTTACTTGCACAAATTTCTTGATTAATTCTTGCATTTTTCTAAAATAAAGGGTCATCTTCTCACTCTTAGCCTCGTAAGCACCCTCTATCTGTTTCACCATGAGTTATGAGTCACTGCAGATCTCCAGTTGCTCGGCTTCCATTGAATGAGCTAAGCTGAGCCCTGCTATGACTACTTCATATTCGGCTTCATTGTTTGAAGCTTTGAATCCAAATCTCAGTACGTATTCAACATCTATTTCATCGAAGGATGTCAAAATCAAACCAGCTCCGCTACCCTGAGCATTAACAGCTCCATCTACCGAAAGTTTCCACGTGAGGAGGTCAGGTACTAACTGCACTGTGTCTACAGGTATTCCAATTGTGAATTCTATAATAAAATCTGCCAATATCTGCCCTTTAATGGCTGTCCTTGGCTTGTACCTGATATCAAACTCACTAAGTTCAATGGCCCATTTAACTAGTCTCCCCGAAGATTTTGGCTTGTGCATCACCTGCTTCATAAGTTGATCTGTTGAAACTTCGATAGTGTGAGCCTGAAAATAGGGTCTAAGTCTCCTGACAGTTGTTACTAAGACTAAAACAAGTTTTTTCATTTTCGGATATCTTTCTTCTGCCCCCTTAGAGCTCGGCTGCAGTAGTGAACTGGTTTCTAAGCTCTGTCCTTTTCCCTTACTAGCGGGGCGCTGGTTGAGAACTCCGAGACAGCCAGGTAAAGGATAAGTACTTCTTCTTCTAACAGACTTAACAAGACAGGTGGGAGCTCAAGTATTCTTTCAATGCTTTGAAGGCTTCTTCACACCGAGCATCCCATTGAAAGGCTTTCTTTAAGACTTGAAAGAAGGGCTGACACTTGTCACTTGATCTGAAACGAAGCGACTCAGGGCAGCTATTCTTCTGGTTAAACGATGTATTTCCCTCGTGTTGGAGGAAAGTTGCATATCCAACACTACTTTTACCTTTTCTGGGTTAGCCTCTATCCCTCTACTATTAATTATGAATCCCAACAAATTTTCTGTCGACACCCCAAAGGCACACTTAGCTTGGTTGAGCTTCATCTTATATTCTCTCAGGACTTGAAACGACTCTGCTAGGTGTCCAATGTGGAGCTCTGCCCTCAATGACTTGACTAGCATGTCGTCAATACAGACCTCCATGAAGGTCCCAATCTGTTTTTGAAACATCTTATTCACCAGGCACTGGTAAGTGGCTCCTGCATTTTTTAATCCGAAAGGTATCACTTGATAGCAGTATGTCCGCTGCTCAGTTATGAATGAGGTCTTCTCTTGATCACTAAGATCCATCCTGATCTGATTGTACCCAGAGAAGGCATCCATGAAACTGAGGAGCTCATGTCCCACAGTGGCGTCTACAATCAAATCTATCTGGGGTAAAGAAAAATTGTCTTTTGGGCAAGCACGGTTGAGGTCTGTAAAGTCAATGCAAAGACGTCATTTGCCATTTGTCTTTTGACTAAGACTACGTTGGCTAGCCAGACTGGGTAATCCACCTCTCCAATGACTTTTGCGTGAAGGAGCTTACTAACCTCTTCGTTGATGGCTTTTTGACGCTCCGGGGCAAAGCTCCTTCTCTTCTGTTTAACGGGCTTGCAGGCTGGATTCACGCTGAGCTTGTGAGTGATGACAGAGGGATCAACCCCTTTCATGTCCTCTTGCTTCCTTGTAAAAGCTTTCTTGTTCTTTTTTAGGAATTGGATAAGGAGATCTTTGATTTCCTTGCTCAGCTTAGATCCAACGTAAAGAAGATGCTCTGAATCCTCGTCCATTTGAACAGGTTCCAACTCTTCTGATGGTGTTGGCCTGGTCTCAGTTTATCCCTCATGTCAAGCTCATCCAATTGGATGCTCTCAACCTCCTTACTTCTCATGGATGTCATATAGCATTCCCGTGCTACGCGCTAATCTCCTCGGACTACTCCAACTCCATTTTCTATTGGAAACTTCACTACAAGGTGAAAGGTAGAGGGAATAGCCCTTATAGAATTGAACGAGGGTCTTCCAAGGAGCATATTGTATGCTGAAGGTGCATCAACCACTAGGAATTTCACAGTTGTTGTAGTCTGACAGGGTGGGTCACCTAAGGTCAAGATAGTTGGATTGACCCCAGTGGCAGCACCCTTTCTCTTGAGAATCCCAATAGGTGGGCACTTACTGGTTTAAGCTTTTCTCTTCCTATATCCATTTTGTCGAATGCAGAAGCAAAAATAATGTCTGCCAAGCTGCCATTGTCAATTAAAACATGATGGACAGTCCTGTTAGCCACCACAGCTCTTACTACCAAAGGGTCATCATGGGTATGCTGGCAGCCTTCCAGATCCGAATCTGAGAAAGTGATAGTCATATCTAAGCGTGGAGCCTTAGACACAGTATGTACTTCGGGAGCTTCTATGGCTCTAATTTTTCGCAAGTGGGCCTTTCTGGCAGAGCTGGACCCTCCTCCTCCGGCAAATCCTCCAGATATCACTCTAATCTCCCCCATAGATTACTGGTGTGGCTCTGGCGATTGACGCTGAGGGGGTGGAGGTGGTAGAGCTCGATTTTGACTATCTTTGGCCATATAGCGCCGCAGCTGCCCTCGTTGGATTAGAAATTCTATTTTTTTCTTCAATTGGATATAGTCGTCGGTGTGATGTCCATGGTCTCTGTGGAAGTCACAATACTTCGTATGATCCCTTTTTGCTAGGTCTGCTTTCATCCGGGGTGGCCACCTTAAAAACTTCTCATGTTGCACCTCATATAGTATCTGAGATACTGTAGCAGTCAGAGGAGTGAGTTGTCGGGGTTCATACCTCGGCTATAGCTCTAGTTGTGGAAGGCCGAGGTGATCCCTGACATTACCTCTTCTCTTCGAGGAACGCTCTCTATCTCTTCTTAGAGACCTGCCTCGCTCTCTTTCCTTTCTGGGATTTCGTTCTGTCTTCTTTTCTTCCTTCCCTTTCTTTTTTCTCGACGAAGAGCTCCTGACCTTGGAGAGGAGCGCTTCCTCACCATTTGATGTACTTTTCTGCTTTAACGAGCACCTCCGCCATACTAGCCTGGGGTTTCTTTGAGATGAAAAACATCAGATCTTTTGACTGAACTCCCAAACCTGCTATGAAGGCTGTAATAAAAAAAATTTCGTCCGGGACATCCACCTTCAAGGATTCTGAGTTGAACCATTGGACATAAGACCGTAGGTTCTCATTAGGTCCCTATTTCACATTTAACAAATGATAGCTCAATTTCCTATAGGTCCGAGCTCCAATGAAGTGGGACACAAACGAGATTGACAACTCTTTAAAAGAGGAGATCGAGGCTGGGGGGAGTCTATTGAACCATGTTAAGGCTGAGCCCTTCAGGGTGATAGCAAAGACTCTGCATCTCACTGGATTTTGATATCCATACAACTCCATTTGGTTTTTGTAGGTGTTGAGGTGATCCACGGGATCCTTTGTCCCATCGAAAGCATCTACCTGCGACATTCTGAATTTATGTGGGAGAGGGAAGTGCAGCACCCCAACAGTGAATGGGGGTTCAGTTTGCTGTACCAAGACGTCCATAGTGACTGGGACCTTGCTCTTCACTGCTTCTTTTATCTGGTTGAGCTCTTGCTAAATGTCTTTGAAACGTTGCTCCCAGTAATGTTCTCTTCTCTCCTGTTGATAAGGGAAGAAGTTGCTCTTCTCCCCTTCCTTATACTAACTTTGCACTTCCTCGTTGTAACCATCCCTAGGGGGTAGGTGAGATTCTTGCCCTAAGATTTGACTATTCTCTCCCACCTCATTAACTTCTTTGAAGGGGTCGAGATGTGGTGGCTCCCTTGGTGGTGGATTATTTTGGCCTCCTTGGACCAGTCGCGCCTCCTGTGGGAGTTGTAGGAGCTTTAAGAGCTCTTCGTTCGTTTTATCAGACGTTCATTGACAAGACGAAGGGCCTCCATTTCATTATTCATGGAAAGATTCCCCATGGGGGGATCTGCTTCTTGCGCATATTCAGGCTGTATGCTATTTGTGGCTTCCTATTAATCTTGCATCCATAGAGGATTGGTCTGACTTCGGCTCATGTTTCACGTTGATACCATCAGTCACTGGAAAATTAGATTTATTTGTAACAGGAACAGTCTTTCCCACAAACGGCGCCAAACTGATGGTGTAAACCGAATTATATGAGTAATGAGTCGTTATTATGCTTTGCAGTGATGGTGGTGTGATAAAGAGAAATATTTTTCTAGGGGCTGGAAGGATTAACACAGAAAAAGTATAGTGGTTCACCAGCTCGAGAGCTCGGCTAATCCACTCTTTAATAGAGACTCTTGTTCCTTACCTTTCAATAATGATGATTATCGGAGTAAAATTGCTAATTTTTGCCTCTAGGGTCCTCTACCCTTCTTTGGGGGCGTTACATTGTATTTATAGGGTTGTTCCTATTCAGTGAGATCTTGGCCGAGATTCTTGCCCTTATTTCGTGAGGTTCTCCTTATTTCTAGGAGAAGATCTTGGTTGGTTGAGATTAGGTGTCTTGATTATAGCTTCCTAACGCTTCAAGAACCTCTCGTGGTTATCCAGCCGTTGCCTTGCCTCAAATGACATTCAACCCTTGCCCTCTGACCTCAGTTAATATGACTGACCTTCCGGTCTGAGCTGAACTTCTAAGCTAACACTTGGGATTTACTTTAAGCATCATCAAATTCCAATGCATACATGTTTTCCGTTCAAAATATAAAGGACTGAATAGCTTCAAGTGGTAAAGTGAGAATGTGACAGAGGCAAAGAGTGATCGATCCCTTTTTTATTGCAAAAACTATTCTCTTATTAATATAGATGCTGCAATGCTACAAGATACAAGATACAAGATAAGGTTTGTGGTATATGCCACGCTCTATTAATGAGGACAACAACATCTAAGTTTAATGGCCACCGACAACAATGAAATAGACTCAGAAAATTCAGACACACACAGAGATAAGTTAATTTGAAGCTGCAGCTTTTGCCCTGGCTGCTTGAAACGACTTAAGAATTTCTATGAGCTTCTCGGGCTCTAGTATGACACCTTTCACAACATCATTTGAACTAAACCTTTCAGCCCAACCCAACAGCTCTGGTGTCTTGGTTTCAGTAAGCAGCTTCACCTCAGCTATTATCTCTCCTACCTTCAACAACCCCAGGAAGGAGCCCAGAGCAAGGTCAAGGAACCCAATACTGTCACCGCCAAAGAAAGCCTTCCCTTTACCGCCTTTGACAAACACTTCCTCTAACAACACCAACCCTTCAACTATTTTCTCTATCAATGATGCCTTAGCCTCTTCTCCTTGTGCTGTCCTAAGCTCCTTAATTAATGGGAACCACTACAACAACTCAAATTATGTCAAAACACAATCCTAACACATCATCGAAATTTCTAGAGTAAACTAGATATATAACTCTTAAATTATGATTCTTGTATCCATTAAGCCCTGATTTTTTAATTTTTTTTTGTCAATTAATTTTTCGAAGTCTCTAATTGTGTCAATTTAGTCATTTTGTTTGTCTTTGATAGTTTTTATAATGGAAAGTGACAAAGTGTGTCACTCATGTGACACAAATGGTTTGAGTAAAATATACATATAGAGGCTATTTGGTAAGGGGTGTGAGGGGCTTGACAAGATAAATTTGGGAAAATAGTCCAAAGGACCCCTAACCCCCAAGTTTGGATTAAAAATGAAACCCTAGGCTCTCAAATTCGGCCCATAATTGACCTGAATATTAACTCATGATCATGAATTTCGTCAAACCTAAGGGGTGAGTGGGTTTGGGAAGATGAGTTAAGGGGTTAATGATGAAAAAGATAATTGTACCCCTTAACATGAGTATAAAATAGACTGATCAAAAGTAAAATAATTATTTGCAGGACAAATAGTTATTAATAATTATGATATATATGTGAGTCCTATACGTGTATGTGTTGTATACCAAATATGGATATATATTGGATTTAATGTTGAATTCTATCTTTGTAAAAGGGAGTTTGGGTTTGAAAGGTCCAAACTCTCCTCAAAAATCCATCCAAACAAAGCCATAGTCCTTAAACTATAACCCTTGTGTCAATTAACCCCTAAACTTTTTTGTATGTATCAATTGAGCTTTTGAATTCCCTAATTGTGACAATTGAGTCTTTTTTATCTTTTTATGTCATATAGACACATGTGTAGCACACTCTAACAGATGCAGAAATAACGGCTCAATTGTCGTAATAAAAGAGTTCAGAAATTTAATTAACACATACACTAAAATTCAAGGGCTTAGTTGATGCAAGGACCATAGTTTAAAGATGATATATATATACTAGTCATAAACCGTGCTTGAAGGCACGATTAAATATAAAATTTGAGAATCCAAAAAATTGATCACATTATATTAACTACAAATATATATACAAATAGATATGATGTTTTTAGGGAATAAATATATAAATGATTAAATATATGATAGAAATAAGTGATGTTATTTGACATTTGAGTCTGATAAATGGATGAAATAAGTAATTGGTATGATTTCAAGGGAAAAAATATGACTAGAATAAAATTTTATCATACTCCTATTATATTATATAGATATATATATAGTTTACTCAAATTTATATAAGAAAAAAGTTCAATAAAGATAGATCTGACAATTTAGGCGTGACTTGCTCATGTCATACAAAATCAACACAAAAATAGCAAATTCGAATATTAAATAAGTGACGTCGCCAAACCCGTCTGGTGTATACACTACACCAAGTTACAGAGGCAACAATATTATGATTATAAACGAAATGAGTATAAATGGAGTGAATTTTAGCTGATTTAAATACAACACTAACTTCAACTCGACTCGTTAAAAGCACTGATTTGAGATGAGAAGTACCTTATCGTCAAGATAGGCTGCCCAGAAACGAGCAGTGGCACGCTCGTAGGGATCAGAAGGGAGGATCGAAGGGCCATTAGTAAAGACCTCATCGATGTACTGGACGATGACAAGGGACTCACAGATGGGCTTATCGCCATGGATTAGAACTGGGACTTTCTTGTGCACAGGGTTTGATTTAAGGAGGAGCTCGCTTTTGGCAAATAAATTTTCTGCAATGAACTCATAGTCGATAGACTTCACGTTGAGGGCGATTTGGGCCCGATTGACGTAGGGGCTTGCGGATGCACCGAGAAGCCTTACATCACTATTCGCCATTGGCAAATTATCAAACAGGTGGTAGGCAGGAATTCTGAAGAAGAAGCTATGCAAGATGTGGATGGAGATTTGTGGAGCATAAGTGCTGGAACCGTTGGGTATTTATTAGAGTGACAGAACATTTAAGTGAGCTATGCGGTGACGTAAAAGGGGGACATGTGAATATGGAGGCGTTGAAGAAAGTCATAATGGGCTTGCCAAACACACAAAAACTTGGTACATTTTTTAAATTAGGATTAATTACAAAATATCCCCTTTAAGTTTGGACTAAATTGTAATTAACTTCTTGTTGTTTGAATTTCAACAAATTACTCCCTCAAACTTTGTACATTTTTCAATTAACTCAAATTATTTGTTTTGAAAATGAAAAATAATAAAAAATTAAGTCACATGATCTCAAATTTATTAAAAATAAAAAATTACCTTGAATTCGAAAAACTCTCTGTTCTTCTTTCCAAAACAAACGATTAGAAAGGTGATCTTATCTCTTCATAAAATTTGAAATCACGTGACTTACAAAATGATTTTTTTTTAATTTTTTATTGTTAAAATTAATGACTTGACTTAATTGACAAATATTAAAACTTTGATGGGACAAACTGTTAAAACTAAAACTAGAGAAAATCAATTAAATATGATCTAAGCTGGAAGAGAATATCATGTAATTAACCCTTTAAATTAACATAAGAAAGATACAATTGGCTTGGAAAACACACAAACACCGGTACATAATTGTATATATGGAGATATATATATATATATATATATATATATAATATGAAATATGATAGATTTTAATAAATCTATCCAACGGTTATTAACATTTTTTTAAAAATTATTCACATTGCAACGTATCTTCAAACTTGATTACGCTAATAAAAAGATAAAATTACACTTTGACTTCCTCGACAATGAAGAAATTTTTAAGGGTTTAGGGAGGCCAATATCTCCTAAAAAATTTAATAGGATAAAAGTATATTTTTTAAAATAATTAGAATAGAAATATATATATTAAAAAAAAGTCATAAAAATCATTTTATCCCTACCATAAATAGTGCATACTTACTTGAATGTGACACTTTCAATATTCTTTTTGATATTTGTGTATCATTTGAATTTTGAAATTTCACATATCTATATAATAAAACAGAAGTGTGTTTGAATTGTCTCAATCATATTTTTCCCTTTAAATCATCACCATCACTTATCTCATTCATCATCCCTTTGTCAAACTCAAATACGTCAATCACATCACTTATTACTATCATAT